TTCACCGTGTTCAGAGAAAGGGCAGGACACGCGTGGCGCCGCGTCTCCGTAGGACGGCCCTGAGCCCTCAGCTTGCGCTCCGCGCTGCGTGTACAGGTGGCGGTGGCTCCCTTCAGCGCGGGGGCTCAGGAGGAACCGGAGGAGCGGGTAGGGGTGGGGCTGAGGTTCCTTCCTGAGGCCAAAAACGCAATGACTTCCTCCTCTGCCAGCCCTCATGGTGTGTTGGGGAGGTGTGTTGGGGGAGGTGTGTTGGGGGAGGTGTGTTAGGGGAGGTGTGTTAGGAGAAGTGTGTTAGGGGAGGGGAGGTGTGTTAGGGAGGTGAGTTAGGGGAGGTGTGTTGGGGGAGGTGTGTTGGGGGAGGTGTGTTAGGGGAGGTGTGTTAGTGGAGGTGTGTTAGGAAAGGTGTGGTGTGTTAGGGGAGGTGCGGTGTGGATTCCGGCATGTTCTCTGTGGACACCTGCTTTGTTCTTGGGATGGGGCCCCTTGGAGCCTGTGTGAGGCCCTTCCACGGAGCCCTGGCCATCTGCCCCTCACCTGCAGGAAGTAGGTTGCACCCTGTGGCCACGCAGTTGCTGATTTCTGTGCGGGGGGAACCCCTACAATCCAGGCTCTTAGCTGCCCGTGTTCCCTGCAGTGCGTGGGGACTGAGCACAGCTGAGCGCTGGTCTCCGCTGCTCCTCCCCGATGCATGGTGCACGGTGCCCTGGCCCGCAGCACGCAGTCCTGTGCTTCAGGAGCTCGGAGCTGTGTGAAGGCCACGGGCACCTTAAGCACCAGGGATGCTGCAGACACAGCAGGTCCCTCAGGATGCGCGGAGGCCTGTTTCCCAGGGCACCGTAGGGTGAACTGGCACCGCTCCTTGGAGAGGGACCGCGGGTGGCCTCGGTTGGTCAGTCAATGGTGTCTGAGTGTGCATGTGTCTGAGTGTATGTGATGCATGAGCATGCATGTGTGTCTGAGTGCATGTGGGTGCATGCATGTGTGTATCAGTGAATGTGTGCCTGTGTGTCTGAGTGCATGTATATGCATGAGTGGGCATGTGTGTCAATGCATCTGAGTGCATGTGTCTGAGTGCATGTGATGCATGAGTGTGCATGTGTGTCTGAGTGCATGTGTGTCTGAGTACATGTGCGTGCATGTGTATCTGAGTGCATGAGTGGGCATGTGTCTCAATGCATCTGTATATACATGAGCATGCATATGTGTCTGAGTGTATATGATGCATGAGTGTGCATGTGCGTCTGAGTGTATGTGATGCATGAGTGTGCATATGTGTCTGAGTGCATGTGCCTGAGTGTGCATGTGTGTCTGAGTGTGCATGTGTCTGAGTGTATGTGATGCATGAGCATGCATGTGTGTCTGAGTGCATGTGGGTGCATGTGTGTCTGAGTGCCTGTGTGTGTGCCTGTGTGTCTGAGTGCATGTATATGCATGAGTGGGCATGTGTGTCAATGCATCTGAGTGCATGTGTCTGAGTGCATGTGATGCATGAGTGTGCATGTGTGTCTGAGTGCATGTGTGTCTGAGTACATGTGCGTGCATGTGTATCTGAGTGCATGAGTGGGCATGTGTCTCAATGCATCTGTATATACATGAGCATGCATATGTGTCTGAGTGTATATGATGCATGAGTGTGCATGTGCGTCTGAGTGTATGTGATGCATGAGTGTGCATATGTGTCTGAGTGCATGTGCCTGAGTGTGCATGTGTGTCTGAGTGTGGTGCATCCGAGTGCATGTGTCTGAGTGTGTATGTGTCTGAGTGCATGTGATGGATGAGTGTGCTTGTGTGTCTGAGTGCATGTTTTCTGAGTACATGTGTGTGCATGTGTATCTGAGTGCATGAGTGAGCATGTGTGTCAATGCATCTGTATATGCATGAGCATGCATATGTGTCTGAGTGTGTGTGATGCATGAGTGTGCATGTGTGTCTGAGTGCAAGAAATGAATTATTTTCAGTTGTTCCCTAGAGATGTTTGGATAAGCTGCTGTTGGGAGGGAGGGAGGTCGGTGTGCAGCGGACACACGTGAAGTGCAGAAACGCTTCGGAACTGGAATTGTTTAATCCCCCTTTGCCGGACGTTAACTGCCATTCACTCCAGGAGCGGTGTGGCCTGCGGTGCATGTGGGCAGCATGTCCCTGTACAGGGGCCTGCATGCCTGCAGGTGTTTAGGAACAGGAGCGTGTGACCTGTGGTGCATGTGGGCACCGTGTCCATGTACAGGTGGCCTGCATGCCTGCAGGTGTTTGGGAACAGGAGCATGTGGCCTGTGGTGCATGTGAGTGCATGAGTGCATATGTGTCTGAGTGCATGTGTCTGAGTGTATGTGATGCGTCAGTGTGCATGTGTGTCTGAGTGTATGTGATGCATGAGCATGCATATGTGCCTGAGTGCATGTGTCTGAGTGTGCATGTCTGAGTGTATGTGATGCATGAGTGTGCATGTGTGTCTGAGTGCATGTGTGTGCCTGTGTGACTGAGTGCACGTGTATGCATGAGTGGGCATGTGTGTCAAGGCACCTGTGTGTGCATGAGCATGCATTTGTGTCTGAATACGTGTGTGGGTGTGTATGTGACTGAGTGCATGTGTATGCATGAGTGTGCCATTTATGCTGTTTCTGCCCCAAGGCATTTTGTTTAAGAGGTTTAATAGGAAATTGTTGATATGTCCATTCTGGCGAGAAATGAATTGTTTTCAGTTGTTCCTTAGAGATGTTTGGATGCAGCAGCAGTGGGGAGGGAGGGAGGTCAGGGTGCAGAGGACCACGTGAAGTGCAGAAACTCTTGGGAACTGGAATTGTTGAATCCCCTTTTGCCGGACGTTAACTGCCATTCACTCCAGGAGCGTGTGGCCTGCGGCGCATGTGGGCACCGTGTCCCTGTGCAGGTGGCCTGCATGCCTGCAGGTGTTTAGGAACAGGAGCGTGTGCCCTGTGGTCCATGTGTGCACCTTGTCCCTGTACAGGTGGCCTGCATGCCTGCAGGTGTTTGGGAACAGGAGCATGTGGCCTGCGGTCCATGTGGGCACTGTGTCCCTGTGCAGGTGGCCTCTGTGCCTGCAGGTGTTTGGGGACAGGGTCATTGGTACCTTTCGGTCTCTCCTAGGTGTGCGACCTGGCGTTCAGCCTGAAGAAAATGCTGATCCGACACAAGATGACACACAACCCGAACCGCCCGCTGGCGGAGTGCCAGTTCTGCCACAAGAAGTTCACGCGGAACGACTACCTCAAGGTGCACATGGACAACATCCACGGCGAGGCCGACAGCTGATGGCGGGGCCGGGAGGGGCCCTGGCGGAGCCCGGCTCTCCCTGTGAACGTGGCGGAGGCGGCCAGCGGCACGCACCGGCCTCCCAGCCCTTTGTGCCGACCTTTAGCGCCTGTAGACACACCTGCAACAAGAAGGCAGCCCGCTCTACCAAGAAATGGTGCGGAGGGGAAAGACAACTTTGTAGCCCTACACAATAGGCTTGTGCTCTGTTCCTATGAAATGGAAGGGGAGGCTGGGCCGCCTCCCTCTGGCTGGTGAAGG